GTGCTTGGAAAGCCAGAACCGTCTCCAGTGGAGAGCAGCAGCTAGGGGACCGAGGATTCCGGGGTGAAGGTGCCAAGGATCTAGACCGCGGACCCGCACGGATATCTTTTAGGAGTGTCGTAGACCACCGGGCCAGTAAGGGCGCAAGCAAGACTTGATCCAACCTCTGCCCAACCCCTGAATACGAGCCCGGAGACACTGCCTGGTAGGAGGACTACGGACCCAGGATCAAGACTGTATATAATATTGTATATATAAACATATGTGTTAGGATTAGGATATCAGGGAATAAAATGGAAGTTTGAGATACCCAGAGTCTTTCACTTATCGACCCTTACCACCCTTGATAAGGCCTAGTGCTCTGGAGGAAACTTCCTCACATATGTCTTCCCAAAAATATTTTCTTTTGCAATAAAATCATATTACACTGATGAAATCACGGAATTGTTTAACTACAAAGGATCCACCAATATGATTTTAATACTATTTAAAGGTCCCTCCAAAGGAAGAGATACCATATAAGATACTAATAATAACTCAGATAACGTACGGTATGGGAAATATTTTATTCATTGAATGATCAACCATATTTGGTAACTAACGCTATTAATATCATTATTGATTTTACATATATTACTCTTTAAACGATGGTAAATGCTCAAAATATGTATATTTCACCCAATTTATAGCAAATATAATTAATTAACGTTATAAATGAATTAACGTAAGCCTTGAAAGTAACCGTCGATTTCGACGGGTTTCACCTAGTTTCCACCGAATGTTTGCTAGATATACCGATAATCGTTTCGAGATTACGTAATCTTTTAAATAAGAAACCGATAAAGGTGTAACCTATTGATAAAGGTGGTTTCTTCAAACTGTCATTAATATGTTAACATTAAATGTTGCTTCCAACTAATGCTATTAATGGGAAATGACTTTGATTTTCGAAAGCTAAAAAAAATCCAACACCAAGGGAGATTAATAACTTCGGTACTGTTTTTTGAGCAAACCATAGTGTCTATGATTCGTAGTGTAAGTGAACCCTAACCAACCACCACTTGCAAAGTTGCCAAATCTACCAGGCCGCGGCCTGTAGTTAAAGGCGGTCATGTGTGTCCTCTATGAGGTGACACTATCGGTAATAACCTACTCGGTTGTATTTTGCCATGGTATTTTTCTGCCGACCGCAAAACAAAACGGCCAGGAAACGCCTTTTAGCTTTTATAAGGCGCGCACACTAATTATTGCTGAGTTATTGCCAGGTTCACACAATTGTTATACAGGGTGAGTTTTAATTGTCCCCCCCCCCCACTTTTTTCTACATTTTTTCAAATATCAATCCCTGACCACTTCCAAACATTGTTGGGTAGTAAGTACTTAATTTTGACAAGGTGGTCATTTCCGGCCGCCATCTTGGATCCGCCATATTGGATGCAAAATATTTTTTTCACCACACTATGATGTTTTTGGCTGTATTACATACGTTAATTGGTGGCTGAAAGTTACGTTTTGCTGGCCATGCCAGCTGTCATCGTAATTTGGGGACCGAGCAGGTTTTTACAGGCCGGGGCCGCAAAATCAGCTGTCCGCTTACTTACTTAATGAATGCATTTTAAATACACAATCAAAATCCATAGCATTGCAATAGAATTTTGTCACTGTTGCCTAGCAACTATTTATTTTTATTTTTGCTGATTCCTCAAATTATTTCTTCACATAACCTTAAAGTTGTAGTTGTGTTGACTATCAGTGTGCATTATTATAGTGGTGAATAGTGGTAATAGGAAATAGAGTGGTGAAAAATAGCGTTCGAACCACGGACCGAAATGGTTTTGCAGCTCTCGATCGATTTAAGTTCTCGACTTCGTCTCGAACTTAAAAACTATCTCGAGCCGGCAAAACCTCATTTTCGGCCCTAGGTACGAAATATACTATTTAAAATGTAAAGGTGGCACAACCCCTAAAGTTGTCTGTGAGTAATATGGTATTTTGCACGAATACTAGAAAAGTATTTTTCGTGGTACTTTGTATTAGGTACCGTAGATCAGTTGTCCAATGCATATGCCTTGTCACAAATTACACATTGATTACAGTGGTTGTTTCTCTATTAGCTATGCCTTAAATACACATACAACCATAATAACTAATTAACCAAAGCTACGATCATGTTATTTCATGTTACTTAAATTAATTTCATGTAAATATCATCGATATGATGTTGTTAGTTGTTACCTTTAGTTCATTAGTTGTAGTTTGTTGTTGTTAAGTTGGTTGAGGAGTGAGGACAGAGGACATGGAGCATGCATGCGTGAGGTTGGGGTGAGTGGTTTTGAGGTTAGACTCCGTTCCGTTATTGTATTTGTATGTTATCGTTATCTATTTTTTTTTTGTTTTTGTAAACGACGTAGCAGCATGCTGAGCGATTATCTAGGCATCGGCGTTGATGTAGGCCTATACAGGGTGAGTTTTAATTGTCCCCCCCAACTTATTTTTTCTACATTTTTTCAAATATCAATCCCAGACCACTTCTAAACATTGTTGGGTAGTAAGTACTTAATTTTGACAAGGTGGTCATTTCCGGCCGCCATCTTGGATCCGCCATATTGGATGCAAAATATTTTTTTCAAATGTAAAGGTGGGGTTGTGACCCATCATTTCGAACTACATTTCTACCCTGATTACAATGCCGCAAACCGTTTTTAAAAATCTTGATTCATTCCAAAGTTATGAGGGCTTTTTAAAACTTTATTTTTAGCCCATTTTAACATTGTGCATTTACAAACTAAGACCATAATCTCAAAATAGTGCTAGATACAGATAAGTAAACACTACCAGACATTAGACATTGTTGACCTATTTTCACTTGGTTATGACAGATGTATTTTATTCGGCCGCCATCTTGGATCCGCCATTTTTAAAAGTGATAACTTATTTTAAATATGAAGGGGGTGTTGTGACCCATCATTTCGAACTACTTTTTTAAGCCAAATTCAATGCCGCAATCCATTTTTTGTTATCAACTTTTATTTATGATATATTGCAAATTTTTTGTTAAAAATGTCAATATTTCAAAATCAAAATTTAAAAATGAAAAACGGATCATGGAATTGAGTTCAGCTTAAAAAAGTAATCTGAAATGGTGGGTCACAACACCCCCTTCATATTTAAAATAATATATCACATTTCAAAATGGCGGATCCAAGATGGCGGCCGAATAAAATACATCTGTCATAACCAAGTGAAAATAGGTCGACAATGACTGGTAGTGTTTACTTATCTTTATCTAGCACTATTTTGAGATTATGGTCTTAGTTTTTAAATGCACAATGTTAAAATGGGCTAAAAATAAAGTTTTAAAAATCCCTCATAACTTTGGAATGAATCAAGATTTTTAAAAACGGTTTGCGGCATTGTAATCAGGGTAGAAATGTAGTTCGAAATGATGGGTCACAACCCCACCTTTACATTTGAAAAAATATTTTGCATCCAATATGGCGGATCCAAGATGGCGGCCGGAAATGACCACCTTGTCAAAATTAAGTACTTACTACCCAACAATGTTTAGAAGTGGTCTGGGATTGATATTTGAAAAAATGTAGAAAAAAGTTGGGGGGGGGACAATTAAAACTCACCCTGTATAGGCCTACATCAACGCCGATGCCTAGATAATCGCTCAGCATGCTGCTACGTCGTTTACAAAAACAAAAAAAAATAGATAACGATAACATACAAATACAATAACGGAACGGAGTCTAACCTCAAAACCACTCAACCCAACCTCACGCATGCATGCTCCATGTCCTCTGTCCTCACTCCTCAACCAACTTAACGACAACAAACTACAACTAATGAACTAAAGGTAACAAACATCATATCGATGATATTTACATGAAATTAATTTAAGTAACATGAAATAACATGATCGTAGCTTTGGTTAATTAGTTATTATGGTTGTATGTGTATTTAAGGCATAGCTAATAGAGAAACAACCACTGTAATCAATGTGTAATTTGTGACAAGGCATATGCATTGGACAACTGATCTACGGTACCTAATACAAAGTACCACGAAAAATACTTTTCTAGTATTCGTGCAAAATACCATATTACTCACAGACAACTTTAGGTTATTGTGAAGTATTGTCTGAAATAGGCAGTGCGTTGATAATCCTGCAATCAATCAATTTTGAGGCTGTACATGGGATTGATTAAGACTAGGCCTATAGCCGCGTTTGCACCAAAGTCTTTCACTAAGTTTTCCACTAGTAAGTTGCTCTTTCTACAAAATAGGCTACAGTGATTTTTTATGTCGTTAAAGATCAAAGATCAAAGAAAGTTTACAACAACAAACAACATAAAATGAATAAAAAGTTTACAACAAAAAGTGGAAGACTAAACTTAGTTGCTACGCTCATTGTGCAAGCAACATGTGGAAAACTAGTGGGGATCTAGGTAATAGCTCATACTACTTAGGCCTATGTTATATTGCATTGTTTGCCTTATCGGGTACACTTCCCCACCTTTACATTTGAAAAAAAATATTTTGCATCCAATATGGCGGATCCAAGATGGCGGCCGGAAATGACCACCTTGTCAAAATTAAGTACTTACTACCCAACAATGTTTAGAAGTGGTCTGGGATTGATATTTGAAAAAATGTAGAAAAAAAGTTGGGGGGGGGACAATTAAAACTCACCCTGTATAGGCCTACATCAACGCCGATGCCTAGATAATCGCTCAGCATGCTGCTACGTCGTTTACAAAAAAAAAAAAAAAAAAAAAAATAGATAACGATAACATACAAATACAATAACGGAACGGAGTCTAACCTCAAAACCACTCAACCCAACCTCACGCATGCATGCTCCATGTCCTCTGTCCTCACTCCTCAACCAACTTAACGACAACAAACAAACAAACTACAACTAATGAACTAAAGGTAACAAACATCATATCGATGATATTTACATGACATTAATTTAAGTAACATGAAATAACATGATCGTAGCTTTGGTTAATTAGTTATTATGGTTGTATGTGTATTTAAGGCATAGCTAATAGAGAAACAACCACTGTAATCAATGTGTAATTTGTGACAAGGCATATGCATTGGACAACTGATCTACGGTACCTAATACAAAGTACCACGAAAAATACTTTTCTAGTATTCGTGCAAAATACCATATTACTCACAGACAACTTTAGGTTATTGTGAAGTATTGTCTGAAATAGGCAGTGCGTTGATAATCCTGCAATCAATCAATTTTGAGGCTGTACATGGGATTGATTAAGACTAGGCCTATAGCCGCGTTTGCACCAAAGTCTTTCACTAAGTTTTCCACTAGTAAGTTGCTCTTTCTACAAAATAGGCTACAGTGATTTTTTATGTCGGTAAAGATCAAAGATCAAAGAAAGTATACAACAACAAACAACATAAAATGAATAAAAAGTTTACAACAAAAAGTGGAAGACTAAACTTAGTTGCTACGCTCATTGTGCAAGCAACATGTGGAAAACTAGTGGGGATCTAGGTAATAGCTCATACTACTTAGGCCTATGTTATATTGCATTGTTTGCCTTATCGGGTACACTTCCATATCTGTTGGCACAATCAACCGAATGAGTAATATTGATTATTCAATTGTTTAATTCGATATATCATCAATCTATCAAATCGAAGGTTAGGTTAACCTTACATAACTAACCAAACGATATATCGATCGATATTAAGTTACTCATTTGGTTGTTTGTGCCAACAGACATGGAAGTGTACCCGCCTTAAGTTATCTGCTAAAATTAGACTAGGCCTATTTTATTTCACCCTGAACATCGCTTTTGCAAATCGAGAAAAATGATAGAAATCAGCAATTTAGGCTTTTTAAAAAAATTTTACTACCAGTAGGCCTACTTTAAGTAAATGGTATTTTTTATTTAGGCAATTTCGAACACTTTTTCCTCTTGCACTTTTTTGGCAAACACCTAACTTATTTCACCCCGAAAACGCAATCAAAAATCGCAAAAAGCATTAAAAATCTCTAAATATTGGCACATTTGGCCATTAAATGTGTCAATAACCTAATACTAATCTTACTTAACCTAACCTATCCTAACCTAACTTAACCTAACCCTTCATAGCCTTGGTTTACCCTAAATCGGTCATTTTTTACACTTTGCTAACTTAAGCATGGGTTAGGTTTGGTTAGGTTAGGTTAGATTAGATTAGGCCTGTATTATATTAGGTCAAAATAAGTTAGGTTGGATTATATTTAGGCATAATTTGGTTTAACTTAGGGTAGGCCTATACCAAAAATGGGTAATTTTTGGCACATGCTATTTTTTAAAATCTTTCAACCTGGTTTTCTGGGTTAAAACGACATTTGCCAAAAAGTGTTTGAAATGGACTAAATAATAAGAAAAACACATAAAAAGTAAAAAAAAAATTTCAAGCCCCAAAAATCATTGATTTCTAGCGCTTTTTGCGATGTTAAGTTAAAACGCGATTTTCACAGGGTGAAAAATAGTCGTTTCCCCCAAAAGTGCCCGAGGTAAAAAGTGTTTAACCCTCGAGGAGGCACTTGCGGGAGTTTTCCTCCGCACTTGTAGTTTTTGTTAATATAAATATGCATAATGGCATAATGGCAGTCGTGCCCGGCTCTACACTTCACGGACTTCATCCTGGGAATGCCCCTAAACTATTTTTACCCCTGAATTCCTCATCATTTTGTTGTCAGTTGCAATTCAGTGACGTGGTGTCAGTTTGCGGAGGTTTACTCCGCGTGCACCCTGTGACGTACTTTCTCAAGTTTTTACCTTTGTACAGCTATCAGACCTTTTCGGGGATTTTCAGGACTCAGATTGACTGAACACTTGCATGGATTATGACACATTTATTACCTCAGGATTAATTCTAGAATCTATATACAATATTTACAGTTTATCTTTGTATCTCTTGACAAAGCCCAGTCTTTGGAAGTCCTGTCACCACGGACGGCTCTTGCAGACTTCTTCTCTCTGCTCCTGCAGACCTTATCTCTCGGCTCCTGCAGTCCTCCCCTCTCGGCTCCTGCAGTCCTCTCCTTCTCTCGGCTCCTGAAGTCCTCTCCTCAGCTCCTGCAGTCCTCTTCTCTCGGCTCCTGCAGTCCTCTTCTCTCGGCTCCTGCAGTCCTCTTCTCTCAGCTCCTGCAGTCCTCTAACTGGCTCCGTCTCGGGAAGTGCTGGGCGGCTCACCAACCAGAGCCCAAACGCAGCAGCTTCACACGATGCCACCAGTCGCTGTCGGACGTAGACTCCTCTGTCTCGAAAAGTGCTGGGCGGCTCAACAACAAGAGCCCAGACGCAGCAGCTCCTTACGAGGTCGCCTGTCCCACTGTCGGATGCAGACTGACCGAGAAGTGCTGGGCGGATCGCTGTCCCAAGCGCAGCAGCTCCTCGCGATGTCGCCAGTAACGCTGACGGATTTCGACTGTCCTCTCTCCTAGACGGCACTCTTCTTACATAGTGGAGGTGGGCCTCTTAATCCCCCTCCAGGCGGATTCATGGTCCCGGGAGGCAGCTCCATTGGCCACCGGGGACTTAAACTGAAATAAAACGGATGCTGGGGCTCAACACGCCAACCAGCTGCACCGGGCTCAACACGCCTCTAGTGCCAGAACGGAATGTACCGGGCTCAACACGCCTCTAGTACGGGAACGGAATGCACCGAGCTCAACACGCCTCTAGTGCAGGGACGGGATGCACCGAGCTCAACACGCCTCTAGTGCGGGGACGGGAAGCACCGAGCTCAACACGCCTCTAGTGCTGGGGGACGGGATGCACCGAGCTCAACACGCCTCTAGTGCTGGGGAACGGGAAGCACCGAGCTCAACACGCCTCTAGTGCGGGGGACCGGGAAGCACCGAGCTCAACACGCCTCTAGTGCTGGGGAACGGGAAGCACCGAGCTCAACACGCCTCTAGGGCTGGGGACGGGATGCACCGAGCTCGACACGCCTCTTGTGCGGGGGACGGGATGCACCGAGCTCAACACGCCTCTAGTGTAGGGGACGGGATGCACCGAGCTCAACACGCCTCTAGTGCGGGGGACGGGATGCACCGAGCTCAACACGCCTCTAGTGCTGGGGAACGGGAAGCACCGAGATCAACACGCCTCTAGTGCTGGGGAACGGGATGCACCGAGCTCAACACGCCTCTAGTGCGGGGAACGGGAAGCACCGAGCTCACGGGAAGCACCGAGCTCACGGGAAGCACCGAGCTCAACACGCCTCTAGTGCGGGGGAAGGGACCCACCGGTGGCGCCTACCGGCGGGGGCGTGCCTGGAGGCTTAACTGACGAAGTCCCCCAAGGATGCTCCTTATATAGGGCCAGAAAGTGCTTGGAGGGTGGGGGGAAGTACCCAGTACCGGCCACCCGGCGAAAGTACTGGGCACTTTTCCCTCAGCACTTTCCCTCAGTACTTTTCCCTCATGTCACCGAGTACCTTTCCTGGTGTTTACCTCAGGTCTTCTGAAAAACTTCATTACAACCCTATCACGTAAGTCCTTAGAGCAGAGTTTATTTCCTCATGCGCTATTGTCAAACTGTGTGTGTATATTTTATAGGCCTAGATACAAAATTATAAACATGTTTAAATGTATTATTTCATTTATAATTATTATCAAATATATTTTGTTTACATGTATATGTATAATTGTATTATTGCGGAACAAAACTCCGCACGCGCCCCCTCTCGTAACATACCTTTATACTAGAAAGTTGCTCAATATTATTATTTGAAATATTACTCACATATAGGGCCTAGTTGTTATTAATTAAGAAATTAGGTTTCTATGGTTATTGAACATTACGCCTACATAACAAGTAAAACGGGTATAATTTATGCCATTTAGTGTTGTGGATAGTGATGTAAAATACCCGGGTATTTAAAACTCAAGGTAAATACCCTGGGTATTTACCCGGGTAAACACCCAAAGTCCATAAATACCTGGGTATTTTGGGTATTTATAAAATCGATTAAAATTCATTTATATTTACCCCTAAATATGTTATTGTTATCATAACATGATAAATTAGGATAGTCTATAACACCTTTTACAGTAACTTGAAGCTTAACTAGTACCTTTTATTTAATGATTTCACACTTTTTTTTAATAGGCTAATACATAAAGTTTCTAAATAAGCATGGGGTTTCGTGTCTTAAATCGAGTGAGATCAGTTAAATTTAACTTAGGCCTACTAAAATATAGTATATTAAAAAAGGCTGTGGCTATTTCAATTTTTATAAATTTATAACCAATTAAATAACATAAACAAAAAAATGTTTTAATTTATAAATATCCAGGAATTGTTGGGTATTTATGATGCAATAAAAACAGTTGAACATGTCATGAATAGTTTGATTAGCAATAAAACAAGCCTGTGATGCTACCTGGGATAGAGAATCCTAGAAACTAAACACTCCCTATGAAATGAAATCAAGACTATGCCTCATCAGAGAAACAGTGAACCTAAACCTACTTCTAGTGTTATTAAATTATGATAATTAAAGTTTTTTTCTATAAATGGCTTGGAAGGCTAGACAGACCTAAGGCCTGATTGACATAGGCAGAATGAATGGCAGAATACTAAAAGTAATTAAACTTTTCTGTGTTACCGCTTGGTTGGAAACAATAATATATATTTGGATAAATCTACTAAAAAAATGTAGGCCTACCTCCTGTTTTTTGGTCTATCTTAACCCTAAGGGGCGGTTTGGGAGCTCGAGCCCAGCTAGTACGCGCCTAGTGTTGGACGCGCCTAACTTTAGTCCCCGGACCAGAAACCAGGCTTGGGAGCTCGCGCCTAAGTTGAAATGGTCGTAGATCAAGTATAGTCGCGCCTAAGTTGCAGCGCGGCTAGATGGACAGGGAATCGCGGGTAATTCAGGTTTTGACGTTGGCAACGGCCATTGCAGAACCCGTTACCGTTGACAACAACAAAAGATGAACACTTATTGAAGATGGATAGGTCTACTATTTAATCGTGGTATATCAATGGTGGCTAATTAGTAGACTATGGTGTATGTTTCTGCATTGTACCATTGCAAAAATGTAGTTTTGTAAGATCGTTGTTTTACATCGCAATGACTGAAGAACCGTAATTGTTTATATTAAATTCTTTTAAGATCTAACTTTATTTTCACTTTACGATTTATAATTATTTAATCAGTTGTCCTTAAGTACTACTAGTTGTCTTTTAAGTACTACACCTTATAAATACGTACAGAGCAACATAATATTAACATCGGAAACTCGGTTTCATGCAATAAAAAGCTCAAAATTAAACAGTAATTTCCCAGTATAATATAGGGGTATTGACAAAAAAAAATAATAAAAAGTAATTGCGGAGGTTATGATTGTCTGAAGCCAAGGTAAATGTAAAAAAATCTTTTAATACAGTACTTAGAAAAAATTGTTGTCAATTTAATAGTATATTACGTTACTAGTCCTGAAAATAAGTGTTTACCGGACGAGTGTGGTCGTTCCCGTGCGAGACG